AACTACAGCTCAAGATTGGCAACTACAATCAAGGTAATCGCACCATTAAGTAGTATTATTCTGGGTTTCTTAATCTATGGAGTAAATATTCTAGTCTTAGCTACATTAAGGTACCTAAACAGGCCCTAGCCTCCCTTCAGGTAGTCCATGATGTTAGTAGGCGTGATCAGTTCCTGATGAAAGTGAGACCTGAATTTGAAGTTGCTCGGGCTGAATTGTTGAATAGAGATCTGGTTCCTTCTTTAGATGTGTGTCTTGGTGAGTTGTAACGTAAGGAATAGAGAATGGCTACACAAGCTACTATATGCGCGACCAATGAGATCTCGAAGGTGACAAATGTTGCATACGCTGCTCAAGGGAAGAATCGAGGAAAAGAAAATTGTAATGTTATAGTTGCAAGGAGTTCGAGCATATTGCTAGTAATTTCGGTAAGAAATTTTCCAATTAGTAAGCAGAATGGACGCATTATCAAGAAATGCCCAACAAATCCAGAAACCAGCAAGTTCAAGCCTTTCAAGGAGATGTCCCAGACCCTAACATTGTATGTCCTCTATCTGTGACCATTTGCACCAATCAACATGTCCTTACTCAGAAATGGTTCAACAGATGCTTATCTCAACATTTTTCGCTCTTGGTCTTCAAGGCTAAGTTAAATCTGTTTCTCTTCCTTGGATTGTTGATTCTGAGCATCTAATCATATGTCTAGCTCTTTTTATTCATTACATAATCTACGGAAGTAGTCTTCCAATTAAAGCCATTGATGATATTGGACCTTGTAGTTATGTTTTTGTCTCTCCCGGGTTGTTTACTAGTTTGATTTCTATTGGTCAATTGGTGGATTATAACTACAAATTACATTTCTCTCGTGTTGGCTGTCTTGTGTAGGATCAACTGTTGGGGAAGGTGATCGCGAAGAGATCTAAAGTGGGAAGATTGTTTCCTTTGCAATTTAATGTTCCTCAAACTTTTTCTTTGGCTTCTATTAATGTTAAAAATAAGGATGAAGTTTGGCATGAAAGATTAGGCCATTTGAATAATGTGATTTTGTCTAATTTGATGAAGCCAGGTTTTCTTGATAATAATATCAACGTTCTACTCAAAAATTGCCTTTTGATTGTACTATCTGTAAACTAGGGAAAAGTAATATTGGCCCCTCCCTACTTATGGTAGTCATGTTAGTACGTGCTTTGAATTATACATGGTGATTTTTGGGGTACTAGTCCTGTTATTTCCCATGCCTATTATAATTATTTTGTTACATTCATTGGTGATTATAGTCGTTTTACTTGGATATACTTCCTATGCCCATTCACTGTTTTCAGACTTTTGTGGCTTACATTAAGACACAATTTTCCACCTGTATTAAGATTTCATGGTCTGATAATGGCAAGGAATATATCTCACATGACTTTCAAGCCTTTTTGCCACAGAAGGGCATTGTATCTCAAAGATCATTTCCTTATACCTAGGGGTGTCAAAAAGGTTTGACGGCTCAGGTGGCCCGCGGCTTGGCTCGTGGCTAGGAGCAACCGAACCGAGGCTCAGGCCAAGCTTCACTTTGGGGACATAGGCCGAGCCTGAGCCGGCTCATGAGCCTTTAATTAATAAAAAAATCATAGTAGGCAAAAAGGCTTTTAAGGCAAAAATTTCTACCTTTTAAGGCAGCTGGCGCATGGCAGCCAGCCAGAAAAAAAAGATCGAGACTGACCGGCTCGACTTGGAAAAGTCTAAGCCGAAAGCTCGGGTCGAGCCGAAATTTTTTGGCAAAGCAAAAGCTCGACCATTTTAACCGAATCAAGCTCGAGCCAAAATTTTTAGGTTCGGGCTCGATTCAACTCGGCTCGTTGACATCCCTATTTATACCCCTCAACAGAATGGGTGGCTGAATGTAAAAATCGTCACTTGTTGGATATGGTTTGATCATTACTCTTGGAGTCTTCAGTTTTGTCTAAATTTTGGGTGGAAGCGTTGTCCACCATAGTTTATCTAATTAATCGTCTACCTTCTCAATAATTGAATTTTGATTCTCCTTACTATTGTCTTTATGGTACGCATCCAAATTATCATACACTACACACATTTAGATACGTTTGTTTTTTCACTTACCTCCTCACGAGAGCCACAAGCTCACAGCTCAGTCAGTTCAGTGTGCTTACATGGGTTATAGCATTGCTCGGAAGGAGTTTTTGTGTTGTGTTGCTGTTGTTGATCGTCTATGTATTTCTAGAATGTGATTTTCTTTGAACATGAGCATTACATTCCGCAACATTTTGCCCCTTCCGAAAGTGTCATCCTTTCCTGTACTATTTATCCTCCTTATAGGTATGGTTTTTTTGCCACTTTAGTTGCTACCATAGTTCTTACCTCTTATTCTCAGGCAACTAAACAACTATGTTGGAAAAAAGGTTATGCAAGAAGAAATTAAGGCTCTTCAAGAGAATCATACTTGGGATATAGTTCCCTGTCCTACTGGTGTTAAGCCAATTGGTTGTAAATTGTTATATTATATTAAGCTACGATCTGATGGCTCACTTGATAGATATAAGCACGGTTAGTTGCACTCGGTAATTTGCAGTAGTATGGGGTGGATTATGAGGAGATATTTGTTCCTATAGCAAAGGTAACGATTGTGCGACTTGTTCTAGTTATTGTCGCTTCCAAGGGCTGTTCTTTGAGATAGATGGATATTAAGAACGTTTTCTTGCATGGAGATCATAAAAAAGAGATCTATATAACCCCACCATCTAGGTTATTTTCTATACGCTCTCCAAATGTTTGTAAGTTGAAATGGTCGCTCTATGGTTTGAAACAGGTTCCATGTGCTTGGTTTGATAAGTTCCATTCTACATTTCTTAGATCTAATTTGTCCAGGGTCAGTATGATTCATCTTTATTTCCTTGCAAGACTGCTAGTGGAATTGTCTTGCTTTTGGTGTATGTTAATGATATTATTATTATAGGGACATACTCTAGATTGATTTCTCAGTTTCAGGAATGCCTTTGGAGTTCCTTTCATATGAAGAACTTGGGTCCTTTACAGTATTTCTTAGGCCTTGAGGTGGATTCTACCTTAGCTCGTACTTTCTTACACCAACACGAGTACACTCAGGAGTTAATTGCTTTAGCTAGGCTTCAAGATGGTCGTTCTATCGATACCCCATTGGAAGTGAATGTTAAGTATCATCGTGATGAGAATGATTTTCTGTCTAATCCATCATTGTATAGATAGCTAGTGGGGAGACTAAACTATTACTCGACCTGATATTTCGTTTGCTATTCAACAAGTTAGTATATATTGGCACCTACGTATCTTCATCTAGAGGCTATCTGCCGCATTGTTGGCTATTTGCAAGGTACTTCATCCCGTGATCTTTTATTTCCCATGGGCTCTCCTATTCTTGGTGGCCTATAGTAATGCTGATTGGGCTGGTTATTCTGATACTTGTTCAATTACTAGTTGGTGCATGTTTCTTGGAAGCTCCCTCGTTTCTTGGAAAAATAAGAAGGAAGATCGCATATCTAAATCCGCCACTGAGTCTTAAGTATCGCACGATGTCCTCTACCTACTCTAAGATTGTTTGGCTACGGGGACTGTTGGTGTAGCTTGTGTTTCCACAAATTGAATCTACTTCGCTTCATGTGAATTATCCTAGTGCTATTCAAATTGTTGCTAATCCAATATTTCATGAGCGCACCAAGCACATTAAGGTAAATTGTCACTCCATTTGTAAAGTATATGATAGTCGAGTCATCTCTCTTCCACATCACAATCGATACTAGATTTCTGATGTGTTTACTAAGGCTCTTTCTCTGCATCGACATCAATCTCTTGTTAACAAATTGATGCTTGTTGATTGTCCAGCTTCAATTTGGAGGGGCATATCAATGGCAAAGATTATGGACGAGATTTATATTTCTATAATTAATGTCTATAAATGTTATTATTACTTACCTAAAATAGATTAACACATAAATTGTAAATTACTAGAAATTAGCCAATGATTTGTAATGCAATTCTTATTTAATGGAAAGAATCCTCATGAAGAGGGCATTCAGCGATTCACACAAAGATTGACAATTTTTTCTTACTTTTATCAAAAATCCTGAGTCATCAACGGCCTAAGGATAGGTTGCATTTTTCTTACTTTTCCACCTTGCGACATTGATTCCAACACATCCTAATTTGTGTTCGAGGTACCGATGAGCCAGGCCACGCTTGCTTTCAAGTGAACTTTGCAAGAGCCAGTTCGCTTGAAGAGAAGGTGGATCGGCTCACTTCACCAACTCCCCTAGGTGTGCGGCTCACATTTTTTTTCCTAGTAAAAGATCAATTTTTTTTATTTTTATTTTTTTGCTTCTTGACTTCCAGACGAGCCGACAAGTGGTTCGCACAGGAAAAATTTAGCTCAGCTCAGCTCATCCCAAAACTCGCCTCCAAGATGAGTAGAGTCGACGAGTGGTTGCCCCACTTAATTCTCCTAGTTCGAAGCAGTACACAATACGTATATTCTTTTATCCCTCTTGACTTAATTTGCCAAAGGATAAAAGATGGTGAGTGTGAGTGTGAGTGTGAGGGTGAGCGTGGGGTGGGGTGGGGTATAGAGTAATGCTACGTCATATCATGATATTTAACATCAGTTTAAATTACTTATTTCGAGAGAGTGAAACACGGGAAAACAATTCTGTCGATATCATTCAATTCGATGGTGAAGGTGAGGTATACCGAATCTAAAAAGAGTAACTTGCTATGTAGCTTCAAAATTTTATTATTTTAGTTAAATATTCGTAATGCCCAATAGTCGTGGCACCCTTTTCTTTTCCGTGCTGGAAAGCGAATGCATACTCACGTGTCGGAAGATATAATAATAATAATAATAATTATTGTGTCGGAAGATATAATAATAATAATAATAATAATAATAATAATTTATCTATCCGAATAATTTTTCAAACCAGAAAATAAAGAAAAAGAATTTCAGAATATAGAAAAATAATTTGATCAATAAGACAACAAAATTTTCTATAATAAGAAATGTGGCCAAAATGATAGAGAACCGTGTATACAACAGCGTATTCTCCACAAAAGAAGATGAATTAACCGTAAATTTACTACAAGTAAATGTGCTACGTGGGGTAAAAAAACATATAAACAAATGATTTAAAGAAAAAAATTTAATTGTCAGACGAAAATGTCTAAAAGAAACGATCAAAAAGACTATGTGAACAAAGTGACAACATCTCTACGATATCCTCGGACAATCAAAAGCCTTGGCACGTTTTCAACCAACAGGTCCATGTACTCCATGTAAAAATAAGCCGGATGGTTGAGAGGTGGTGGTGGAAGGCTCACGAGCACGACTGCAGCCATTCTCGAGTATTTCAGTATTGTTGAATTAAGCTTTAAGGTGGTAAAAAGAAATTTTTCGACCTGCTGCTCGTTGAAAACAACTGGCTTTCCATCAGCCATAAGAGGCGTGCCTTCTTCCTGAGCTTTATCCTTCATGCCTGATAAATAGCTAGAAATCCTCTGCTGGGCACCAGCGAATGCATCCACCGATTCATCTTGTTGTTCTGCTTTGGCATCCCATGATTTCATGGAGATTACAATTACCTCGGCTTGCATCCGAAGATCATAGAGAAACTTCCTTACATCGGCCTTGAGTTCCTCCGCATCGGAATCCTCCTCGGCAATGCAGAATACCTGAATCTTGCAACTCTCGAAGCTCTCCTTGGTAAGGAGGAGTTGAGAGAGAAGAAGCATAAGACCACCATCTCGCACAATCCAATACAAATCAATAGTACCGTACTGTCTTTGGTACTCATTAGGCCACTCGTCGAGACCCTTGACAATAACAACTGCCTTGTTTGCAACAATGCAGTCATTTATTATTCCAACAAATGTTGCTGGTATTTCAGTTAAATTTTCCCGGCGCCATATTTCTGGGTACCTCATTACCACAATATTGGGCTTTAGATTGCCAAGGCCCATGGTCTGAACAATGCCTCGGAAGCCATCCGACATACTGGGGGCAACAACTATCTCGGCAACACCTTCACATCTCTTGTAGTCGATGTAAGTACTAAGTGCTTTGCAGGCTTCCTTGGCATCCTCAGCTCGCTCATGGTAGTCCCCATCTAGGATAGAAACGAATATGGACATTCCCCTGCCTTTTTTCTTCATGAAGTTTGCAAAATCAGCAAGTTTAGGGTGGCAGGGAACGTTCTCAGGCAACTTGCCCCATGGCCGGCAGAATATGAGGGGTATAGGGTACCAGTTCTTTGGATGTACCTGGCTTGCTGTATGTACAATTACATTATTGATCAGAAGCATAATACAATAAGTGCTTGATTTAATAATACTGGGAAACTATGATCGTGGATTCCTTTATCAACTTCCATCTAATTCAAAGATACCTACGAACCTTTTTCAAATGAAAAAAAAAAAAAAAAAAAAAATTCATTTTCTCACCATTAGTGGACTAGATAGGATTCCTTAGTACAAAATAATAAGTTGCAGGACAATCTTCAAAAATTTGATAGAGTGAATTATTATAGCTAAAAATGGAAGAGATCAAAAAGGGTGCAAATTCCTTTCAGCTTCAAGTCATGCATGGACTAATTCATATATCTTTGGGCTTTGATTATCAAGGAATAGACTATACAAATAATGCCCCAGGATTGGAAATCAATGAGAAACAAATTCAAGCATTTCCCATGTAAAAAGACTACGAGGGAAGAAGAAGCGAGAGACCTTAGTTACGCTAAAAAAAAAAATATTTCATAAGATAAAAACATTTAACTCACAAGATAAGCATACAAACCTCCCAAAGATCGTAGACTACGAAGAGCAAGTTGAAAATATGCACTCTTGAAACCATCACCCCAGTCCCCAGCTTTCCCCTTGATGCTCACATAGTAATATATGAGGCTTGCCAAGGCTAGAGCCACCACAGTGAATGACCAAGAAATCAAGAACATGATCACTGCAAAATAATCATGAGAGTAAAGCGTGAGCATAATTCTGTTATGAAGTAGAAGAAACAAAATCATTGAGAGCTGCTAAGGAAGAAGCGCCAAGCTATAATCTACAATCTGAATGCTGACATCACATGTAAGTTTGACCTTAGTCCATATCAGTACCCAGAACAGCTATGAGCAGAGATACTGCAGCAAAAAGACATTTGCCGAAGGTTGCTTAATGCATTGATGTATTCCTATCTACCCTGAGTTTTTTCAAAATTTCCTTCAGAAAAAGAAACTCCACTTTATAACTTCATTTCGTCCCATTTCAATTTGTCGGCATATAGTGATGAAAAAATCCATTTTCTGCTGCAGAATCAAATGTTTACACTCCATCTCCATTTTTGAGACTTTTTTTTTTTTAACAGCATAGTTGAGCACACTGTAAAATATAGGGCAGGGAAAAACCTTTTCTCCTGAAATATAGTTTCAATCCCGCTCAATAAAATTGATCAAACCTAACATTGTGGACACAAAAACTAACCTATACAAAGTGATGCCCCAAGAAGAGAGAGGCTCCAGTGGTGAAATTTCCACCGTGGACGCCAGCTAGGAGCATCTAGCAGATCCAAAAGAAAGCACGATAAGTTGACACCCGCATAACACAGGAGGTAAAACATAGTTACGGTCGGGGTGATAAGATCCAAATTGCCAATTACGACACATCCAATACAAAGGAAGGCAGTAAAGAGAGTAGCAACATAAGGCTCACTCCCGTCTGCCACCCTGAAGTAGTTGAGAACAGGCAGGATATCATCATTGGCTATAGCTGCAAGTAGACGTGGAGCACCCGTCAGGCTCTGAAGAGCTGCACCTAAGGTCGAGAGGATAATACCAATATAAATGATAGCAGGGAAAGGCCACGCAACTGTAGCTGTAAGTAACCTGCACAAGCAGTAAAGTTATGCCATAAAACAAGAAAAGTAGTTAGGCTTAACCAATACACAACCCAGCCATAAGATAATACCAGTAACAAAGGTTTGCTAATTTATCTTTCGAATTCTTGAAATTTCGGATTACAAGCAGACACTCCAGTTTGGGAAAATTAAAACACGAAATGTTGTCCGCTTTCAAAAATATTCTTAAAGTCCAAAACGAACATGCCAACACATAAGTAACAAAGAATTACCCAACGGATATAAAAGAAGGCATTTTGTCAAAAAGGATCGTGCCACCATAGAAAAAAAAATGGCTACCCCAATGGATAAATTAGCAAAGGTTGTCACGTGTGATCTACTTGTTGAAAATAATTAAAATTTAAATAATATAAATGAGGCTCTATCTAATTGCTTAAACTTTTAGACTAAGTGGTTCGACATGATATCATAGCACATGAACAGATCTTGGGTTCAAGTATCATCACAACCCACTTGAATTGAATTGTTCACGTGCTAGGTTTTGCTAGAAAAAATAAAAATAAACTCCCGTTGAGGGGCATGTTGAAGATAATATTTAAATAATATAAATGAGGCCCTATCTAAGAGTTTAGGCTTTCAGATCAAGTGGTTCAACACTACTAAATGTACTTATAATATGGTTGCGAGTAAGGACCTGAACACTACTCAACTATATGATCACTTCATCTCTTCCATCATTTAAAAACATATCTTCAGGAAAAAATAAAAAATAAAGAGGAGAGAGAGAGATTGATTGCTAATACATAACTTGATTTATGATAAATAACTTATAGAAACAAAATAAGTATGCACAGCAAAACATTATCATGAAATTGAAATTGAAGACACAGATTTTTAATTCAACTACCATATAAAACACGAAAGAAATCGCTGCCTAGAAATAGAATTGAGAGTTTAAGTAAATTTAAAAACTGCCAATTGGAACAACATATAGTCAAAGCAGAAAATTAGCTAGTAACGCAATCAAATAGGAAGGAAGCAGACTGAAACAGCAAGTTATAGTGTCAATTGTGGAAATTCTAGGCAGAACTTGCTATACCTGTCAGTCAAAAGTTTCTCCCTGGTTGCAAGGGCTCCAAAGAATAGCACTGAAATAATATATAAAACTGAAGTCGTCAAAGTTGCAGCTAATGTCCCAATGGGAATGGATCGTTGAGTGTCCTTGAGTGATGCAGAACGATTTGAACCGGCCATGATTCCTGTTACAGCAGGGAAAAAGAGGCCTACCAATCCACTGAAAAAAATAATAACAGTTGGATTAGAATATAGATGACTAGTTGCTTCAGTCTATTCATAACATTTGATGCCAATAACCAAGGTTCTCACGACAATTCTATGTGTCAACCACAGATTCACATAAATTATAAAAGAAGATTAAAATGTTAAAATAATGGGAACTGGCTGGGTTAGTGATGCAATGCTAAAAGTCTATTTGAGGCATAGAAGAAATTATTATAATTAGGGGTTTATTTTTATTTCCAATTTATGTAACCCCTGTTTAAGCCCCATTTTGTTGTGCAAATGAGTTTTGCAATATTTAAGTTTTGGAGAATGTGTGATTAAAAAGTAAGGAAAAAAATTTTGGATTTGCATGCAAACTTATTTTATTGGGACAATTTGTGATTGAAAATGAATTTGAGGAAAGATGGAGCTCAAACAAGGGAGCGCAGTTTTAGTTTATTTCCTTATTGACTTTGATTGTAATTATTAAAGAGATATTATGATATTTAGTTTCCAATTTTGATATTTATTCTAGGAAGCATAATAAGTGTGTTGATTTTATAATAATTTCCTACTTAAATTAGCATTAGTTTAAACCCTATATAAAAGGGTCTTTTGCGTTGTAATAAATCAACCTTTGATTATGGAATGAATTGATTTCTCTCCCTAATTTCTATCTTCTCCTATTCCCCTCTTCTTCTCTCTTTTCCCCCTCCTTTCTCTTCTTCTCCCTCCTTTCCCTCTCTCCTATAATTCTCACATAACATCCAGCATCACTTTGTTACCTTATTTAGACTAGCTTAAACCCTTTTAGTATTAGTTCTTGTGTTAAGACAGAATTTCTCATTGAATAAAATACAAGAAAACTCTATCAATTAAAGCACCATTTCTCATCCCTCCCCTTCTCTCTTATTTTCTCTTTCTCTCCGCTCTTTCTCCTATTTGTTTTTGTCTATCATTCTCTCTTATTTTCTCTCTCTTTCTCCTCTATTTCTCCCATTCGTTTTTGTCTATCGTCAATTAGACTTGAAAAACAGAGAAAGTATATGACTGATAAGAGAAATTAGAACGAAATGAGATATAGCATGACTTACTGGAAATTCCAGTATATTTTTCCATCAGGATCTGGGATTCCAGCATTATTAGTATTTTGATAATCTGAGCTCCAATTTTCTTTGAAAGATTTCGTGCTCAAGCCCGTAATTCCCACTGCACCATGTGTATGAAGACAAGTTAATTCCACAAATATACAGCTGACCTTAGAGAGAGAGAGAGATGGACAAAACATCAACCAAATCATGATTTTTATTGATGCCTTTTAGGTAATATTCGAAGATGGGTTGAGATAGAAATATGACCAGTATTTCATCACTATGTGTTCAAATATCCTATACCCTTTCAATGGGACAGTAATTGTGTACCGTAATGTACTAAAGGTGGTCATCTCGCAATACCTACAAACATCATAGTTTGGCTTCTCAACAAGTCAACCATCATGTCCTATGCTTAGAAATGTAATATTTATTTTCTTTTATTGTGGAGGCAAATGAAAATCTTAACTGCATAGAACAAGAAACCACAATAATATTCATTTTATGTGGCATATCATTGCAAGATCTGAAGATAATACATATTAAAAGATACCTAATCTCCTCTTCAAAGTATTTAATAGGGAGATGACACTTTACTAGCACTTTCTTTTGTAACCTTTCCTTTAGTTTTTATCAGGAAGATTGTCAACCATTTTCTTCCTGTCAACCATTTTCACTTTTAAGGCAGGCAAAGCAACTTCAAACCTCTCTTGCTTGAGTTATATAACTTCGAGAATGCAGCAAACATTAACCTGGACATTATTCTAAGACAAAAGTGGAATGAGAATAAAAAAAACAGCAGGCAGAAATAATAAAAACCTGCAGGTTTATCCTTCCTTGCCAAAAGTATCCCCATAAATATGCAGACCAATGAGAATAGAACAGGTATGAGAAAGGCCGGTGCAACTCGATTTATCATTTTTACGCCACCAAAGACTATGAAACACAAGATGATCGTCACGATAATCCCATAAATTTGCAAGTCATGTAAACTCGGAGCTGTAATGGGCTCCGCAACAGCCGTCCCATTTACTCTTGTGACCGTCTCTGCATCGATGAGGAACACAATCAAATTCTGGAGAATAAATTCTTAACGCTATAAATTAGTTGACATAACCAGTAATCAATAACAGCTACTGGCAACTCCATCATATTCATACAGAGTAAAAAAAAAAAAAAAAAAAAAAAAAAAAAAGGAAGCAAGGATAAATTGCAACAAATGGCTCATCACAAAACTACCACTACCCTAACTCAAATCTAATTAAAGCTGCCCCACACGTTGGATGACATATAGCATCTTAACCACATTACGCAGAGCTTTATGGTGGTGGGTGCCTGATAACCATGACTTCGAAGATTGCTAACGTGCATCCAAAGTAGTCCATGAATACAAAAACTAATTCTCCAAAGCCAGAAGGTTGATTGTCTTACTCCTTTCAGGTTGTTCCATTTTTTTTTTTTTTTTCTAGGAATTAGAAAACTCATAGATAAAACACTAAACATAGCAGTAGTTTGAGTGCAGGTAGTGGCTATCCCCACCAAACCCTTGAAAAAATATTGAGGTACCCAAAAGAGGACCAGCATCATTATGTCATACTGGTTCATTAGAAGCCACCCCCAGCCAAGGAGCTAATTCACCATGGCCTAATGAAAATAGGCATTACATAGAGTTTTTGCTTATTCTTTTTGTTTGTCTTTTCATAGTCAGTGCAAGGGACATTAAAAGTTCATATTAACAGAAGAAGAAAAAAAATTCAACACAAGTTAAGAATATATTTAGAGAGGTCAAATGAAAAACTTTCTGATAAAAGCTGTAAACTTGATCATAGGATTCAAATGCCAATTCTACAACATTCCCCCAGCAATTACCTCTAAAAAGTCCTGCACTTGGCACAGCATTCAGGAAGGTCTCCACAGCTCCCAACACATATCTAAATCACAAGAAAATGTGAAAGCACAAAAATGTTAGAAGAAAATATTTCTTGTGTGGCACTATAGAACCCTGAAAAAGAAAAACAGTTAGCCCCTAGTTTATCTCCATATCAGATCATGCACCTACTTCAATATAAAATTAAAACAAATACACACTCACAGGGCACCAGCAACAGCATTTCCAAGGAAAAAGCAAAGCCCAATGCTAACTCCAACCTCTGGACCTAAGGCACGACCAATGAGGTAATAAGGTCCCCCACCCTATATTACAGCAGAAAGATTGAAAATGTATTAAAGTCAATTCATTTACTGAACTATACATGTATGACAAATACACCCATATCTTATTGTTAATCATTAACTGAAGAAGTAAACAGCATTATAACGAACGTCAAATAAAATAAAGGTCATACCTTCATTGCACCATTAGTTGCAATAGCACTCAAAGATATCGTCGTAAGGAAGGTACATGAACCACAGAAGGCAACGAGCAACAAAGACTCACCTATCCCAGCCATTCCTACAATCCTACAGTTTTCAGAATACCATATGAATCAAAATAAGAATGTTTTGGAACATATTGCTTGGAACAAACACTAGAACTAAAAAAGACTTAAATTTCAAATAAGAAAGAACAAATATAAAGAAATTGGAGGATAAAATTTTATCCTGTATGTTTTATGATCTCAGTTCAGTAAGATACTTTATAAGACTTCACCTTCAAATTGAAGATTGAGGACAATAAGGTATCCACTAACACTTTAAAAATAGTGAAATGTGTGATATAATGAAGGATTCATCCATAGTCTAACAGAATGCAGGAAAATACAAAATTATTCCAACTCCTTTTTCTGCACCAAACTCCAAATCTTTCTCTCATGCACAAGCAGACAAACTACCACTTACAACGGCCACATAGGCTGCATTTAACATCTTCTCGCTAAGAACAAACAAGAACATTGGCATCCACAAGGAGGAAAAATGGAACTATGATAGACAAGTGAAGCTTTGAGGTAGAAGTTAGATTAGTAAATCCAAAATGAATACCTGGAAAATCCCAAGTGACATGCTGAACAAAATCATGCAATATTATATTTAAGTAATGCCACATCAAACACTTCAATGTTTTCTCTAGAATCCAGTTTGCACTGTGATCTAAATTGATGTTTTGATTCAAGAACCAGAAAAGCAACCTCTTGGAGTTCTTTATCTTCCACCAAATAAAGTTCATTTTAGTTTTTAATGTGAAATTGCTTGTGTATATTCTTCACTTTGTTTAATTAATCAAATTCCTCGGTTTAATTGAACATACACATAGTAAATCTATTTTGCTACCATTATTACACCTATATCTTATATAGTAAAATCCATGACCATACACGAGTCCACTAAGTGCTACGATTGATGAAGTGATTTATTTCCAGTTTAAAGCCACAGATGACTAAAAGATTGAAGCATCGATTTCAAACTCATTGTGTGTGACCAAGAGGAGATGCAACTATAGGGAGTCTAGGCCATGAGACCGGGCATCATGTTATTGTTATCAATTTTAGAAAACAAAGGGCTAGGTTAAGTAGTTTGAGATTTGTTTAACATTCACTGCATCAGTGATAGGGTGCCCAGAGATATCCTATGTTGTGGGCAAATCATAAAGTCTCCACAAATATCTTTCCCGGAACCTACAAAGCTGTAAATGAGACAACATTCTCAATTTCATACCCGAATATGAACATATTATTGACAGTTGAAAACAACATACTTCTATATTTGGGTGCACCTTGAGAGGAATTTTAAAGAGCAGTTAGCATAAATATCTAGCACTGTAAAACTTACCACGTAAATCTGATATAGTAGATGATTCCCAAAATGTTTTGCAAGCAAGGCACGAACACCCCCATCATTGTTCCAGATTTGATACCAGAGGTCTGCAAGAATTATTCATCAGAGGACATCATAAAGGAATCAAAAAATACTTTGAAGACAAAATTAGTGGAGTGCCACATGCAAGCTTTTAACCGATGATTATGATTCTTTTTAAAACAAAATATAATAGAAGTTCAAAAGTGACCAGAAGAGGAGGAAGTGCTAAAATTAGTTTTAGTGCTCTATTTTACATCCAAGGAAAAATTATCCATAGATGTTTGAGTAACATGATTAATTAGTTAATTGCTCTAGTAATTAATATTATTTCCTCCCAAAATCATTAATTTGTAGACTATTGTACTTAAACAACTAAAAACATAGGACTGGTATAAAAATATTAATCAGCAAGCACATCAACCATTAGATAGCAATCATAAAAGAGGTACAAGATAAAGGAAGATTGAACGAAAAAGAACATTTATTGGTACCTTGGGACGTTCCAGAGAAATAGTTGCATCTTCTCCATCTCTAGGACTTGAAGGTGCTGGAATCTGATCGCCTGTCATGCTGAAACACGAACATTTATCAAAATACTAAACATTCCAAAAATAAATATTGAAACTCTCCAAGCAAAATATTGTTCGATAAACAATCACAGAAGAACATGAACACTCGCATCTCCTGTGCATTTCAGTAAAGGTAACAAATGAAAATAACTAAGAGTAAGAACATTATTTGTAATATGACTGTATAAGGCTGTCTAGGATATTCATTTTTTTCAGCTTACAACTGCTGAATTTTGATATTCAAGAAAACAATTAAGCCCTTGTTTGAGCCCCACTCTCTAAAACTCATTTTTTCCCAAACTCATTTCAAGCACATATTCTCCGAATAAAATAATTTTGCAACTTTTTCTACTTTTTAACCACACATTCTCCCAAAAAAAATAAAATAAAATAAAATAAAAATTTTTAAAAATCAGATTTTACAAAATCTATTCTTAAAAAACGGGGCTCAATCGGGGATAAGTACACACACCATTTTTTTTTTTTTTTAAAGGTAATCAAATATTTTATTAATCAATGCATAATACATGGGAAGTGTATTATCAATTTAAAACAGAATATGCCTAGTAGCTACAGCATTAAACCACGTATACAATGTGAAATAAAACATTTCTCTAATTTGCTCTGCTGTCCGTGTTTGATCATCAAAACAGCGGCTATGTCTTCTCTCCACACTCACCTTTTAAGCCCTAAAATGTTCACAAGGGAGTCAAAGCCAAATAATTCCAACTTGGACTCGGTCCGAGAGCCATTAACACCAACATGATTTGGCAGTGCGTCATCTTTTCCTTCAGAAGTCGTGTCTGTCTGCATGCCCACTTTAATGTTTCTACAAATGCATTTCGGTCAGTAGCAATGGAAAAAGGAATTGATAAATAAAGCAAGGACTTACTTTCAAAACAAAATTTCAAATAAGCACCCGGAAGTATAACCAATCTGAGAAAGTATACCAAGACAGCTATCATAGATATATCAAGTTTCAAGAAACTTTACAAATTATGCAAGCTATAAGAGGCAGGAAGGATACAAAATAATTTTAAGGATTGCTCTAAGACCATCACATGAAGAGTACTGTGAAACAATGTTCTATATCATCTATAAACAAGGCATAAATATACAAGCCAGTCGGTCATCAAGGAACCTATTCGTGAGTTCAACTGATAAGTGAAATACCCAAATCTTATAATTACAGAAATCGAAAGTATTATGCTTTGATCACAGAATTTTTATTTATTTATTTATTTTTATTTTTTTGTATAGTTTAGTATAAATAGTAGATGATTTGATTTTGTTCTAAAAGATAAATAAAATAAATTATTACAAAGAAGTGGACCTCAAAATGCCTTGTCCCTACATATTTGTTTCATGTAACAGCGCAGTAATAAGATACACTAATCTTTTCAAGCACTGTCCATATGCTCTGGAATCATGTCGAGACTAATTGCTATTACAAGAGAGCCAGTCGTTATTCTTGCTTCTGTCTAACTTCTCAAATTTTGAGGTTCTGGAGGCAGCTAGCATGGTAAGTTAATTTGATGATGCACCATGATGGCCATTCTCGTATGGCTACAGATGAACGGTATGATATTTTAAAATCAACTGTCATAAGTGAAAAGCGTTAATATTTTCTCCAATTGTAAATCTCACATCACAAAACAGTCTACGATTTTGGTGCTTCATAATTTTTATCTTCTCAGACTTTTTCTCACTAAGCCAGAAAGCTTTACAAGATTCAGTTGCTACTATGCTGCAAATGGGTAACATAATTCTCTTTTGTTCCATAAAAACAAAGAATTCAGATATAATGCCCGAGCAAAGCACAAGTTCTTAAAACTTAGATACACGAAAGGTTGTTCTCTGTGTTAAAATTGTTGTTCTTGTTCCAAAATACGCTTCACAAACAATTAAATACATAACGTACTAGCATTCAAATCTGTAGTAGCATATTTGTTCGTTAAAATGCCTAAATGGAATCATAAGCAAACATTCAAACAGAAGAGCAATGACGCAAGTGGAGATTAAGTTACATGCGATCGTTCCGAACAGGTAACGAAGACGACGACGATGCATCACCAGGATCGATTGACGACATCTCAAGCACAGCTCGATCGTGGTCATGAGCAAATACCGGTCTGTATTTGCGTCCTCCCACACCCCTACCAGACGAAATCTCATTATCATCCGAACTTTCTATTTCTTCTCCATTGCTGTTATTACTCGCCATTGCATTGATTCAAATCAATCAATCAATCAATTGGATCTAAGCATATACATGTGATGCGAGGGGTTAAGAAGAAGAGAGAATTTAGATCCAAACGATCTCTGACTATTCAAATGGGAAGATTGAATAATTGAAACGATCTTCCAATATATATTAATTTAGAAAGAGAGGTTTGAATTGTTGAAGAAATGTTAGTCCTTGAAATTAAAGAGGAAAATGTGAGGGGGCTTCTTTTCTTAAGTGCTACTCTCTATGTACCTATTTAAGCGAAAGTGTACGCGTGAATTCACGTATCTGGTTTGATGTGTGGTCTTCCACGGAAAATATACAAAGTATATACAGACTGGACCATCCGTTTTTGTACACACGATTAAAATTGGACTGAAAAATACAGAATAATTGGCAACTGCAAATGAGCCTAGTTGTTAAAGTGTGGGTTGGGCTCTTAGTATACGCGCCCAAATGCTTGCACGGGTAAATTGTATGGGCTTTTTCCATTTTCGTTTAGCTCACATCTAATTATATTAAGGGCAAATTATACTTAACACCAATTTTTGACTCTTCAGGTGCAAAAACTTTTCTTTCGATGTTAGGCAATTTATTGTCAAACGACCTTCCCGGACGATGATGTAACCTCGATTTTTATTATCAATCGGCTTTGGCCATATGATTGATTAGTACATCGACACAATTATCAAGACAATACAATCCACATTTTATGGACCGTTCGAAGTAACCTATTTTAAATAGTGTTGCTCACGGTTCACCCCATTTCCTTAGAAGGCTATATTATTATTTTTTGAAGCCCACTTAATTGAGTCGAGCCTTGTTTTGGTCCACCATTTAACCCTAACCTAACTTACCTATTTTGGGCATTTACTTGGCATATAATCCCTCCTTCCTCTCGGACTCCTATGGTGTGCCAATTTCCCTTCTCTTTGTGAGACTTCCTCTCGGCTCCTTGCTTTACTTCACTGTGACCTTTGTGGTTAATCTTTGTGGGCACATTATTGGACTTCTCCTTCTCCAACCTATCAACAGTTCAGGGAGGTAAATCGCGGGATGTGCCCTTGTTAGTTTCCAGATTCCCACATGACTTTTACTCCTTCCCCAGAGGGAGCCTCTTCACTGCCTTACAGTAACTTGCCTTCTAACACACATTGATTTCATTCTCTCTCTTCTTTTTTCCTCGATGTTCGTTCATCATCATCTCCAACAGGTTGCCTTCACTGGAACCAACCACCGCATAAAGAGACCACCAACCACCACAGTGTCGATGAGTGCTATGATGGTTTCTTCCTCCTTTGATCTAATCCATTCTACTTAGTGGTTTTTGTTGTTGATTTACAAATTGAAAGTGGTGGAGGTTGTTTGCATTTTGCAAATGATGATTTTTGGTAGTGGTGAGGTGGCTCGGCATTAGATTGGTGTCGATGTAGTGGAGCAGGGTATGGTAGGATGAAGAGCGATTGTGATCACTAGTTTAAGTGAGCATGACCAATAAAATAGTTAATTTGTAATCAATAAGTAATATATAACCTAAAAAAATGTGTTATTGTGACTCATAATTTATATCTTTGTGATTGTGGCTTTATAGGATTTGTAACTGTGACATAATTATGTGTTATTGTGACTTTTGACCTGTTATTGTGACCTTGACAAGACCACCTGACTTTTGAAACTTTTTCGCATGTTTCTTATTTTTGAAAATGTTTCTTTGAAATTATGTATTGTTCTCTCTATCTTTTTTCTTTCAATGTTTTTTTTTGGTAGTGTGTTTGGTATGTAGATAACTAATATTTAAACATTTTTATGTCTTTAATATTGTTCATATTTTGAGGTATTATTTGATATACTAAGGGCATTTTTAAAATATCTTTATTTTATTTTTCTAAAATTATTATTGTTTTCCCCTCATTTTTTAATTAACTAGTTGTAGTCAACGTGTGCTGCACGTTATTTTGAAAATTTATTAAGACTTACAAATATCATTTTTAGATGTTGAGTAAATACTATTAGATGTTTATATTGCTTATATAAATCATTTATAAAAAGTGATTATTTTATTAGATGAGAACCTTCATTATTTTTGTCAGGCATGGAGTATTTTAATTTAACAAAATTCTTTGTCCTAGGAAACGAAATTAAACATTAAATGATCACAAGTAGAGGAAGAAAACTCTAGCCCGAGGAGAAGATATTTCCCGGACCAACGAGTCTACACGTACAAATTTAACTTTCAGAATTTATACAGAAAACACTTGACAACAATCTGTTGAATAATGGCAAAAATAAAATAGCAGCAGATCAAACCAGATGCTGCCACACCTGCATCTGGTACAAATCTATGAAGCATTTTGCTGTACAAGCAGATCAGGTCTTCTCGGGACATGGAATTAAATTCTTTGTAGACGCAGTGTACAGACAGCTCTTGTTCCCTGACCTGTTGGGACACATTCCACAATTTACCTCCCTCACAAAGTTCTAAAGACGGGACAGTAGAGACCTTCAAGGTTTGGGATTCAACCTATTTTAGATTAGGTCTTCCCGGACTTCCTCTGACACCATCACAAGTTTCATAAAAGTACACACTTACAATTGCAATCTACTCATGTTACAAGCTGAGATACCGAGAAAATGAATCTAAACAGACTAGTATAAGACAAACAAGGAAACATAATTTCCAGTCCTAAACTAAAAACAGAAATCGACAAATAAAATTTAAAAAATAAGAGATGAAAGAGTCATTATTCATCTGAAGATATATTTTTCTTGTGCTTTCCCTTGTGTTGATTTTTCGACTTCTCACTTTGCACACTTGGATTGTTCTGCTTACTGACAGATCCCTCTTGAGCACTGCACATTTGGGACTTAAGTCTAAAACCAAACTTTTTCGAGACATTTCCCCACGTGCTCGATCCTTTTACTCGACCCAACTTCTCAATCTCCTGCCTCATGGTGGAACACTCTTTCTCAAGCTCGGAAACCCTCATCCTCATGTTATCCATTCCGACTTTCAAGACCTGGTTTTCTCGTGCGGCTGTGGCCCAAACTCCATCGTTCTGGCCCATCAAGCCACTTCTTAACTGTCTTGACCCATCGAAATTGTCCGAGACCAACAAACAACCAGCAATCGAAGTCCTCAGTTGGAGCTGCTCAAAGAAGAGGACTTGGACTATTATTCTCAAAGGCAGCCTCTCGTTCTGCGCTGCATGAGTACATGCTTCCAAAGATAGTTTTTGGCAGTCCATCAGCCTGCAGAGTTGTTCTCTATCCGACTCTGCCAACCATGGATGAGACTGCAGATACAAAAACAATGAAAAAAGTTCATAAGCTATTTAAGGTTAATGGTAAAACGAAACAAAACTCTCAACCAAACCACAAATCAAGTAATCGGAAAATTGCACTGTTAGTCCCCAATCTATTTTCCTAGTAGCAAGTTGGTCCTCAACTTTAGAGTTGCACATAATCAGTCCAACAGCAGAAACCTTAAAAAAAATCTCCATTAACTCGTCGTGTAACCTACATATATTTCATTTCCCCACTTATGTTTGTGCCCAGAAATTTGCAATGACACATGTTTCCATGAGGGTCATGTGACAATTTAATAGAGATTTGAACGCTTTTTATCATTAAGATAGAGTGTGAAACCATAAAGAAAGGTTGAGGACCAATTTGCTAATCAGATAATAGATCAGATACCGATGCTGGAATTTTCCTAAAGAATTGATAAGTTTACCTTGAGATAAATGTCGATTGCACGATAAAGACCATCATCCAAGGGTCGTGCATACTCAGGAACAGCAGCAGCAAGGGACTGAAACTTGGGGAGCTTCAGATTAACATCTGGGGCAACCTCTGCAAGGTACCCATCAATTAACTTGGCTACCATTGTGATAGGTGTCAGTGATGGTGATCCCATTAGTTGGGCGTCATCAACTGAACCTGGGGATGCACCGCCAACCACCTGATCCATGACCAAGAAATGGTCAAGAATCCTCTGGACGCAGTCCACATCATATAGAGTCTCCATGGAATAAGAAAAATTAGGCATCAGTAGATCCTCAAGAGTTGCCTGATCTAGTTGCACTCCTATCCTCTTCTCTAAGTTTGATATGCAAGAAGGATTTGCTCGAAGAATCTTGGCCGTTCTAAGGAGGCCAAATAAAAATTTTGTTGGGACTAGACCCTTCTGCATGGGAAGTAAGTGATCAATCTCTTCAATTAAAAGCTTCTGATCCTCTTCTGACAGTGAGATTCCCGAACCCACTGGTGCAAGACGGTTACTGGATTCAGTGGAACCCTGTCGACGGTTTAACCCTGGTATATACTTTCTTGCATAAAAGTTCAGGGAGCCAGCAATTATTTCCTGTTTTAACCCTCGAGATTCCATGGCAGAAATTAACCTTTTGTAAAGTGGTAAACTTAAAGTTGATGCGTCCTCGTACCACCAATCAGAACTTGAATTTTTTGGTCGAGCACCTGTGCTGATTCCATTCCACAACACACTTCCTCCGGGACTCTGCATGGGGCCCCCATGCTCCAGGACAGGCCAGCCAAATAGATTTGGGTCAGTGCAAGCTTTGGCAGCCAAAGAGTCAATAAACTTTTTGGGAAATTGAAGCTCTTCAGCATAAGGGAGAACGTCTTCACAGCTTTGGAGGGCTTTCAAGGAGTCTTTCCAATTTCGCAGAACCACCTGATTGAGAAAGATATCAGTCTGAGAAATAAGATTGCCTTCTCCATTCTCTTCGGTCATTTCAAGATGCTCGGCTGCACATCGAAGTTGTACCACATTTGCAGCAGTAAGTTCAAGTTTTACCCCATAGCAAAATTTAGCTACAAGTTCAAATGTTTTAGCTCCACCGGGAACGTCAGAGAGTTTAATGACACATCCTTCTTCTACTTCAGATGCTTCTGCAATCAATCTTTCCATAACACCACTTCTAGAAAGCAGTGGAAACTACAACAGATAATTGGATTTTAATACAATATATCGAGATGTGAATAAATTTAGATTTCTGCAATCATATTTTATAAATTACTGTCAGTAAAAATTAGAAAATAAAGCAATCGGCATTCAGAAAACCAGTTGGAAATGAATTTTTGGTCTTGTATATTATAGTAGAGACTTGCAATCCTACACCTAATGAATGGCAAATAGCTGTCCAAGAATCGAAAAGAGTATAAAATTGGAGATGAAACCTAAGCAATATGAATCAGTTAAATTACATCAACTATAAAATATTATACCTTGTGGAGATGGAAGGACATCTCCCCAACTTCGACAACTATATCACTCGGTAGACCAGTTGTGCAGAACCTACAGTTAAGCAGAGAAACAAAGGGCAAGTTTGAGAGACAACAATCATGTTTTGATCGAAGCATAACTTGGCAAATTCTGAGTAAATAGCAATACCCTCCACATAAAGAATGTCGATGAGGTGAAACAAGAAGCACGAAATTTAAATCTTATCGCATGGCTGTGAAAAAAGTATGTGCTTTGTGAAACTTGTATGATTTCAAAAAAGTAGTGTGCTAAACAATTTGAAAATATCTCAGGAAATTGGATCATAGAAAAACCTGAATGACAGGTTGATTAGCTAGTTACCCAAAAAATTTCAAAAATGATTAATGGCATTGTGAAGCCTCAATACTATCTAATCACTCTGATAGCAAATTCATTACGATTTTACCAAAGTTTAAGCCTCCTTGGACTAATGTGAATCAGAGATTATCGTGACACGGGAGATATTCCACAGCCTATATGACAAAAATCAACTGATACTTTACGGTCTACGCTCTAAGAGCCTGTTTGGTAATACTATATAAAAGATTTTAATCTTCTTTTTCCAGTTAAGTGCAATCCACTCTAAACAGTCCATAAGTGTCGAGTTCAGAACATTGATCTTGATGCAGATGCTGGGACCATGAATATTAAAGAAAAATGTGCAAATTAATAAATCTGCCTTCGTGATCAATATGCTCATTGTCAACTAAAATAAGTAAACAAACAGGTGAAACATTTCAAGCATATGGTATAATCAAAAGTTCAAAAGAATCAACGAAAAAAGTTTAGATCCAACTAGAAAACTGAAGTTGAAGAATCAAGAAACGCACCAGGCCTGCCCTTGCCTCTTGAATGCATCAGTTTTGGATCCTAATTTCATACAAGCCATTTCTGCAAAAATCGATGAAAACTCTACTTACAGCAACACAACTTCAAGAAGAACAAAATCCCTCTATGCTAAAACTCCTCTGTTAACAGCAATGCAATTCAATTCTATGCAGATTCAAAATCGAAACCCCAATTCCAAACTTCTCACGAATTTCAATTTAGATCTTTGAAAAAAAAAAAAAAAACATTTAAAATGCTTCTTTCCCTTACAAGAAAACTCACAAAACTGCAGAAACCAAATCCCGAATACTTCAACTACAAATCGAAATACAAAAATTTCTCAGCACTTCTGCAATTGATAATTTGTTTTAATGCAACAAATCCTCTTGAACCTTAGCTCTGTCCCTGGAACCACTCCACCGGCATGCCCATTCAAAAGAAAAAAAAAAGGACCCAAAATCTCAGCCCACAGAATAGCTTGCAAAAACTATATATTACTAATCAGACACCAAATTTAGGTCAACCCCTCCAAAAATAAGCAATTCTGACACAAACCACACTTTCTTTAACCACCAGAAGAATCCAAAATCGAACCCTATGTGCCAGATAAGACACAAAAAATGACCCCCAATAAAGAAAAAAGAAATGGAGTACAAAATAAGGGAAATCCCAGATTTTTCCTAATAAATCTTCACTTTCTTTCTATTATAATGCCTCAAAGAATTATGATGTGCAAGACCCATCTAGCAAGAGCTTGGAAAAACTCAAAATGTTAATTTATGGCAGCTCTGAAACATTAAATCCTCTGTCCCCCACATGTGGGGCCTTTTGCTTGAGACATACTCATTGCTTATAGAGATTCAAATATTTAACGCCAGAAACCATTTAATTATTCATAATTCCATAGTAGGGTAATTAATTAAGTCATTTATGATTATCGATTAATTGTGAGTTAATTGTGAGACATATGACCTAAAATTTTGATCTTGCAAAAAGTTTTATTTCATTTGAACGAGTCACAAGATCTTTGAAAGTAGTCCAGCTAGTCCACGTGGAGACACCAATACGTGCGCATCTTTGAGTGGGACCGGCAAGTGGAAAATAATGGGAATTTTTTGCCAGTCAAAGAAATGGGTGGGGAAAAAATTTGACTTTATGCATCTAATAAGGATGACGTTTTATTCAAATTAAGTGTTGATTATGAAAATTAATTTTTTGATCGTTAGTTTGAAAAGTGAATTCCACTTATGAGTAAAGAGATAAAAAAATAACGGATGACTATATTAAGTTATGCTCAAAAATTTGATTTTCTGACATAAAAAATCAGAATCAAACAAGGGCTAAAAGTGTGAAGATCTTAAAATTGTAAAAATTTAATTGAACATGCTTATTTCACTTGAGAAAAAGGACTCGAGAGCAAAATAATAACTTCGTCAAAAATGGGACTTGTCAATTTTGTCTAATTAATTAGCTGGTAAGATAATAGCTTACGGAGCAATCATTAATATCTAGGCACACACCGTTTGAGCCACATTAATATAAGAATAAAAATGAAAAATATAGTTGTTATAGGTCCTACACAAGAGATAGATTTTCAAATATGGTGGTTTGATGTAATGGATAACAGTCATATTTTTTATTTTAATGAGTAAATAATAAGAAACAAGTAAGGGCGATTTTCACCTAACCAAACAATGTATTATGGAGGTATAAGGTTCAAGAATCGTGATCTTCTTCACGCAAAAGAAACAATAATGATTTTTGGGAAATAAAAAAAAAAAAAATTATCCTAAGCTTAACTTTCAACGTGAACATAATCATAATGGACGTCTCCTTGCATGATAGCAAGAGACTTTTGAAAGAAATAACAAAACTTCGTAAGGATAAAACACCTGTATAGTATATATATGATGACTTGTTTATGAAGGTATGCAATAATGAATTAGCCGGTGAATTCAATTTAAAAAAAAAAATGAAAAAAAAAAAGAGGGCTTCTTGAATAGTAATAGATAATATTAAAAAATTTAGGAGAAAATGTATATTTTACACACTGAATTGGTCGAGTTAAAGTCTCATTGATCTCATGTAACATCTTAATACAAATTTTATAAAAACAAATATTTTTTGAACTCTTAACATAAAGAAAATAAGAAAATGCTATTTTGTAGAAAAATGTCAATGAATTCAACTTTTACGATTTCAAACAAACTATTTTTATTTTTTTAGAATGAGTAATGCTATTTGTAGTCGTTCACTACGATATTTGCCCTACGTGGCATACACATAGCAGGTGATTATTTGATACATTAATGTGGTAATTTTTTTATTCATTAATACATTAAATAATCACCTACCATATGTATGACATGTAGGATGACTGTCGAAGTGAGTCCATCATGGGATGGTCGAGTTGGTAAAGTAGGTGAGTGCGGAGACTTTTGGTCTCGAGTTCGATTTCTTCTATCAACACTTTGTCGGTCGAGCCTGTCTCTGGTGCGATTTACCTGGTTGGCATGATTTGCAGGTTATTCACTATTGCTTCAGCCAAAAAAATTATCCAGTGCACGCCCGAAGAGTAGCGGCTGCGGGTTCCCTTGTCATCAAAAAAATAGAAGTTAAATGCAGAATCTTCAAAACTAAAAGATTTGGTGTTTAAATTCTATTATAAGTTTAATTTTTATTAATTATCACAAATTATTTTATTGAATTATATTTTATTCAACTCTCATAAATTCACGACACTTATTTTATAATCATAGCTTCAATCAACCCCAAAAAAAAAAAAAACATAAAATATAACGTTATTCTCACACCGTCAGTTCCCTGTCTAAGCTCCCATTTGGTGACAATTTTTCATCCCAAAAAATTAATTTTTTATCGTTATTTTACTATTTTAACCTTCTTTTTTACTTCTCCACTCATAGATGAGACTCACTTTTCTCTCTAACGGTCAAAAGCTTAGCCTATGTTAAGTATCGGTGACATGACATATCATTTAAATGGTGAATCATTAAGTACATGAGACATACTATTAATTTATTTACCAATTAAATGGTGTGTCATGTCATCTGTACTTAATATAAGTTAAACATCGGTGTTTAGTGTATGTGTGTGTGTGTGTGTGTGAGAGAGAGAGAGAGAGAGAGATTTAAGCAAGTTGTGTCATGGAATTGGCCCGTTGTACCCCATATATCATAAATTACAATTTTTATTTTTCTTTTTCTTTTTTTGGAAAGATAAGGGTTCTTTGAACTTAGCTACTAACCATTTTTTTTTTATTAGACTACTGATTTTGTATAAATAACTTTTTTTTCCCAATTGAGCGCAAGTTTAACGTAGATTAAAATCAAGTTTTTTAGTAGGCTTTGATTAAAGTTGGTGAAATATATTATTAAAAATAATTGTTAACATCGACTTGAAATTTAATTTGATTATAATCTACACTAAACAGGGATCCACTGGATGTATGATTGTATTCATGTAATGCCGCATTCTCGTTTCTCATAATTATCATGTCTATCTAAATTACTTATTTATGTTATATTTATTGCTCAGTGATCGTAGTTATTAATTAACGTGACTAACTATATTTCTTACAGTGTGATGTATATTGGACACCCTAAACTATCAACGTACCTATTAACTTAAATTTACTATAGAATATATTAATCTTATCATGTGCTTTTTGATTTCTCTTGCTTGTGGATTGAACCAAGACATTGAATTGAAAGATTTCTTTTGCTGAGGTTTTGATTCCCATTTTTCTCAAAATGCTTTTATCTTTCTCTTTTTTTTAACCCTACATTCTTCGTTAAAATAATATTATACGTAAATAAAAAAAATTTCGTCTACACATTCTCTATCAGTCTACTATTCTAAAATTTATTTTTCCTTAAAAATAAGTATCAAAGCATAGGATATTGGCACGTTGAATAGTTGAGGCGAAGGACATATTCACTTGTCATTTTCAAAGTAAATATTCCCTTTTCATTTCACGCACATGTCCTATGGTTAAATGTGTAAATATGTTATCTTATTTGCCCTTATATAACATGATATTTAATTTTTATGTTTTCTGCCGTTAATGTTTTTCCATGCATATTTGTACATTTTAATACATCCATAAGCATACATGAAGTTTCAAGAAATAAAAGCTTTCAAATGTCAATAAGTCAATGAATGTATTTAAAGATATGTATCTTGAATGCTTCGAGGTGTATGCTTATGTAATGAAAAATGTGAGTGGAAAATGGAGTGTGGAGGGATTGCGTACCTAACCAATATTCAATGTTCAATGTTTAATGATAATGTTAATATTAATCGCTTTGCAGTACTATCGATAGAATTCGATTGGGTTCCAAATAATAATCTTCTACTGCATTCTAATTGATTAGGCAATATATCAAGTAAGTTACGACATCAATACTAAGTTTTTAAAGAACTAAAAGAAAGTGGGATACATATTGAGAAATACTTTTATTTTAAAATAATCCATGTGCACATCATATGCACGAAATTTGCTTACTTAATGTTAACTCATTTCATGTTATCCGTCCCCATTTTCAGATTATGAATGCAATGATTCGAGACAACTACTTGTATTGTGATGGACTCAATACTAATACATGTAAACATCAACTACTATTGATAAATAAAGTTAACATTTAATTTAATTTTTTTCATTCAAGTGCAAAATTTTTCTCTGAGTTATATTCATAAATGAAGCTGATGTTTATTATATTAATGAAAAATTTAATCACTTGCACATTTATGATTTCAAGAGAAAATGAAATGATAATACTTTCAAATTTAAATATCTACATTCGTGTTACAATTCATATGTGCAACTCATTATTTTTAACTTTGTTCACCAAAAATTCATGTAGTGAATGAAGGGGTCGATGTGGATTGAGTGAAATGGATTCGAAGTATGATTAATTGGTCAAATCACTCGATTATGGGGCCCACTCACTAGGTAGATGCAAAATGAGAAGAAAATAAACAAATTAATGCCAGTGAAATTCAGAAAGAAAAAAAGAAAATTTGAAACGGAGGAATAATAAAAAATGGGAGTTGGTGTTGGCGGGATGCTGACGAGTTATTAATGAGAATTAAAGAGCCTCGAAATGAACGCGCCATTGAAAAAACCGATCACGAGTCTCGACCGGCCAGCACGCGCCATCATGAAAAGAAAAGGTTGTTTCCGGGCACGCCGCGTGACTTGTCACGACTCTACTCAGCTGGCTGGGGATAGCCGGCTAGCCGTGGTTGGAACACCGCCTTTTTCCCACAAATTGATTTTTCCTATCTCTTTTTAATAATCAATTATATATATATATATATAAGTGAACAAGTGAGATTAGTTTAATCTTACATTTTAGGCATTGTACTATAGGTTCAAATTGGTTTGAATTCCTGGATGTCTGCTGAATAGACGTTGGTCAGCCCTGTAGACATTGGTCAGCCGTGTTAGGTGGTCCCGTTGGGTGGTCTCGTTTGTAGGCTTGGTAAGAACCAATCTATCCTATTTTACTGTTTTTATTGTGTAATTTTAATTTGATTTCATTTATTCAATTATGTCTTCGGTTTCAAATTGGCTAAGGAGATCTAGGTCTAGAAATAGAAATAGATCACAAAATCAAAATGAAAATAGTTCAAATGTTTTTCAAAGTGAAGAAGAAGTTGATAATGCATCAAATTCATCTGCATCTGCATCAAATGATTCTAATTCAAATGAATTTCAAATTGCTAAGATTGAACAACAACTTCAAAATTGGACTATTC